ATCAACTGTTAATTCCCCTGATATTTCCTGTGGGTTGAAGGGAATGTTTAGATTGACTGATGCACAATGTAGAAATCTTTACCTTTATCATCTGTAAACATGTTCAATATTCCCTTTGGAAGTGGCAAGCTAACACTCTCACTAATAATTGCAATAAGAAAATTTAAGCTTTAATAAAATAGGCATGTCTTAGGGGCCCCCCTTAGGAACTGCAATGTTACTATGATCTAYTATTTTAGAGCTGAAAATTGGGTTTCATACACTTGGACTGGGATCTACTAAAAATGAAATAAATAGGAATGGAATTCATAGCAACAATTTGATTGAACTACCCCCTCCCTCCYCTTCCCCATTCTTCCCCTTTTAGGAACCCCGCTCTGGATTGAGAAGAGGAGTACATACAAGTTTCAAAGATCTAGTGTAAAACTCACGGTTCTTTTGGCTCATCAGAACTTTCCCTTGCTCGCTTTGGAGCCACGGCCACATCTGCTTTCTGCACGGCAAACTCATCATGTTCTTCTCCAGAGCTATCCGTGTCATCTTCTTCATTCAAGTAGGTTTTTAAAAGTGCTAGGGCAGCTCCCTTCCTCTTAGACATATGTGCAATTCAATAAKTTCATGTTTTTGTCTTATATTTCGTTAAACAGCTGAACGATCGTCAAATAACGAGAAAGTTTTGCTGAAAATCTTCAAACTCGTCCGCCATTTTGATTCTTATTTGAAGCTCCGCTGAACAACAGAAATATGAGCCATGTTCCCGCCAAAAATTAAATACAGTTACGATTATTTTTCGTTTTCTTTTCTTTTGTTCGTATACATTCAACCTTGTAATTTCCTATGATTTATCATTGGGAGTGGTGAGTCAGCTCTCGGAAATACTCACCCATATTTTGTGTTCGACTGATTCAGTTGCAACAGCAACCGGAAGTCACGCTTCAGCTAATGCAGTGGGTGGGCTTGACTACCACAGGAAGCCCACAAACGGCACATTCCGTCACAATTTTATCTATTTGCAAAACTTGTTGTTACTATTGCGGAAAACCTAGGAAACGGTTTTTAGCGAGTACACTAACAATAGTGTTTGATACTTGGACTTATATTTTCTCATTTTTCAATTTCCATTTTGATGGGACTTTTTTTTCATTTCCGTCTTTCCTACTATTTACAATTGTAACGGTAACAAGCAGCTGATGTCTGCGAGGTTCTGTGTGGAAGGCTATACCTACTTCATACCATAAAAATTTGAATAATAGATAACAGCGGGGACAACTCATTGCAAAAACAAAAATACCGATTCCGTTGCTATGGTGGCCTCGTAAACACTGTTGTGAATYCAAAACCTGCAGGATATGAATACATGAATTATAAAACAAAAACAAAAACATTTAATTAATCCAACAATGYATGACAATTTTTATCAGTCCAGGAGACTTCAAAAATTCCATATCAATTTTAATCATGGAAAATAAAAAAGTTTAGATTTCATTTGTGAAGTTTAAAACGCCTATATTGTAAATTTCGATTCTTTAAATTTTTTGGTGGATTTTAATTTTTTATTGTTTAATAAACATAAAAGCTTGTTGGAGTTGTTGTACGATCCGAAATGAAAACATTTCGTTTAATTTCAAAAAAGTTTCAGGCAACTCTGGCACGACTATGCGTCTATACCGCTTTACCGCTTCTCAAATTTTTGACACGTTTCCTTTGATAAAAGGGTGTGTCTTATTGAAAGATGCTTGATTCTTTCTTTGTTCGTAAGCCCTTCAATATATTCAAACGCTATCTTGACCAWTGCACCTGGAGAAAAATGTACAACAAAGGCTTATAKGCAACAGGTGATTTTCCCTGGCACTCCCAGTTTTATGCCAAATCCAAGCGACAAATCATTCYCAAAATAYACCTAWAGGAGATATATTCTATCAGAACGTGGCTTGTTAGCAAAATACGCTGTTTTTCGCACAGGAAATACGAGATTTCTGATTATTTTCAGGAAATTTGTGGCTTTTTTTGTGTATTTCGCGAGTGATCAAATCACTTCCGGTAGCCAAGCTTTTGTCGGGACGCATGCGCACTTCAAAGGCGCGTAAATGGTTGACCGATAAACTACACAATTTGAAAGGCGTGTTTTGTTGATGATCTTACGAAAGGACGGCTTCTAATCGTCGTTTTAAAAATGTGTAAGTCGAAACAACTTATTTCTGTACTTGCTAGTGTATTTTTAGTGCTATGGATSCTTTTGGTTGGGATTAATCRGTCGGCTAACGTCGGAGMACTGCGCAAAGCTGCTTTGTCTGAAGCCATCATTGCTTTGCAAAGTTCTCATCTGTCATTGCTATCCTCTCATCTGTTTGGTCAATTTAACAAGCCTGTTCATGCTATGTTTTCTAATTTTGTTTCTTCTTTCATAACTTGGATCTATCCTGTTGTCTTTCTAACTCCTTGAACGAAAATACAGCGGTAAGTTTCGATGAAGTAAAAACATCCAAGATTAATAGTTGAAGATGTTGAAATATTTAAACTTTGAGTTGTTGTTGAATGAAAATCGTGCTTTTATTTAYTAGAATTCAAAGGGTATGGAGGGGTACGTTGGATTTGCTAATCTMCCCAATCAAGTCTTCCGTAAAAGTGTWAAAAAAGGCTTTGAATTCACYGTTATGGTAGTTGGTAAGTTGTAATCTACAACACTGCAGTTCAACTTTTAATCATTCATAGATTTTCTTTCAAAATATTGATTGTTTTGATCCGTGTAAATTCACTACTTWAGTCTCACAAAAGTCAAACAAACTTAAAACTATGTTTACTGGTTACATTCTTCAGTATTTACTACAATCCAAAGTAGTATTTTAGTAGTTTCGCTTTGAAAAATTATTYGTCACTGGATCACASCGAAAATCGGAAGTAAAATTCCATTGYCGTGTTCAGTTGACATTTTGGCATGTTATTGTAATTTTCTGTTATGTGAACGGATGCTAGCGTTTCTACCGCAAAATGAGCTGTAAATTCTTGGTGTTTTTACAGATTATATCTATTTTCTTCCAAAGAAAAACAATCATTAATAAAATGTAATTATTTTCTTGTCATGAGGCTTTGATTCAGGAAATGCCCTTGTACGTATTGTTCATTGCGATAAAGATCAGAAATTTCTGGTAAACTTTTGATATTTTCATCCATGCTTGATTTTTACTCACTTTTATCAAAACAACTTAAGGGTATTGCAAAGTAGTTTATAACTTTTGTACAGTACGTGAGTCGGCAATTCCTACATGCATGAATACATTTTTGCGTGATGTGTTATACAGTTTCCTATTGGATTAACCACCAGAGGGGTTTTGATTAACTCGTATTTGATTGCTTCTATGAGGTTATCTKTTGGTTAGCCTTACAGACTATATAAATGACAAATTAATAACYATATTGAGCTTAATGTAGTTTCATTTCAAAGAAGGTTTCRTACTTTCCAATAAAAAATTAAAAGKAGTCAAATTATTACAATGTTTSAAGAGGAAAATARAACAACTATTACCTCACATGAAGGTACTCMYACTCCATGTGATTTATTTTTTTCTGCCCTGGAGTATTAAATATTTTCRCACTAAAACTGCTTGAAATGTAAATACTTATTTTTACTCAGCTGGACAAATTGGATATAACAGTTTCATATAACTATTTCATCAGCATCCAGTCAATCCCATSACATTTATTMGAGAAACTTAATCTTCTTTGTTTTGTGTTCATCTCTTTTCACCATGCGGTCGATGCGACAGATGTTTTCGACTCTTCTTACTCATAAACACCATACTATTCATCATATCTATATAAAACCATTATTATTTGATGTTTTAAGTATTTCAGTCTGGTCATGTGTTAATTCAAAGACACTTGGATTTCAGATGTAAATTATTTACAACGAAATACATAATAGTTTTATTATGTCCAGAAAAAGTCTTATTCTGCCTTCTTCAAGCACAATATGTGAAACATTCTGTATTAAATATTGGTATTTTTGTATTCATTTATAACCTCTTTGAGTGCTTTGTTTATGCAGCATCAAGTTGATTGTTGCCCTAAACATAAGTGTGAATTTTAATTAGCTGCTGAAAGCTTATGCATWTAATGATAAAGACATCACCACAGGACTGAGATTTACTTACAAAACCATCTTTAATACCATCTTGTTAATGATTATTTGTGACAGAGCTGAACAAAAAACAAAAATTTTGAAAGTAAACTATTTCAAAAAGTGGGTTATYGTTTGGRTTGTGATTTATAYCATCTTGTTGTCATACAAAAATAAGTTTACCATAACTYAGATCATTCGATTATGCTTTTTCCAATGCACCAACCACCATTAATTAGACACCRTGCTACTGAAAGAATACTGCTGAAGTTATATGAYTTAAAACAAAGCCAGTACACAGGAAGMGGTTTTGCTTTCAAAATGTTCAGTTCATTTATGGGCAATAAAATTGCTTCCTTTTGTTATCATTAAACTGTAATGTTTATCAATGTCAATAGAGTAAAGTCAGAAAATGTCAGATCAAAAACTCAACTAGAACAGTGAGAGTTAATTCAATTCAGTTTCATTAATTGAACAAAAGATTAATGACAAGAAAATAATAGAGTACAAAGGACACCTCAACAGTACAGACAATCATAATAGAAAGAAAAAATAAGTGAAAAATCTATTTCTTACCCCTCTCCCCTTGGGAAAAAAAAAGACATTCTGTAATTTCTTCATGGTGAGGGAAAGATGGCCATGGATTTGCGCTCATAGATTTGAAACAKACTAATTAAAATTGTTTATTTCTTTTTTTACAGGGGAATCTGGACTTGGAAAATCAACATTATTAAACTCATTATTTCTAACGGATCTCTATACTCCCTCATCTTACCCAAGTACCAAAGAAAAGTTGAATAAAACTGTTGAGGTAACTGCAGTAAATTACCAGAAAACCTAAAAACTCTTCATGTGTTATATTATTTATTGATAGTACTGTTGTATACATAAGAATTTTATAAGATCTTATGACAAGAAACGCAAAGCATAGTGAAACTTTTWAGATAATGAGGATTTGTGTTGATAATCAGGCACTGTGGAGCAACATTAACACCTCTATTTGGTGGTCGCAATAGAAGCCCCAATTCARCTATTCACTCTCTATTCAGCCATCAACCTCTATTTAACCTACAGGTACCACAGACTGTAGTTCTTCTTCTTTTTTAACAATTTTCTTTTGTGTTGTTAATAGGTTAAGCCTTGCACAGTTGAGCTCAAGGAAGGGAGTGTACGTTTAAGATTAACAGTGGTCGATACGCCAGGATTTGGTGATGCAGTCGATAATAGTGACTGGTAAATTTTGCCACTGTTTTATCGTTATTGTTAAATAAAGTAGATGTTGGACTCAGCAATGGCCGCAATGTGAATTCAGCCCCAGTAGTCAAACACAAAAGAATCAAGATGAGGCACTGTGCATAAAGCTCAGTGAATCATGAAAAACTACATGCACTGTCTATCGTATATGACTACTGAGGCAAAATTCCTAAGTCAGCTATTTAAAACCACTTGCCAAACAATACCTTTGTAATACATGTATCACACAGGACAGTAGTTGTGTTTGTTGCTACCTTATTATCATTTAAACCAGAGATAGCCTTCCAATTCAATATGTAACAGGGACGAATCCAGGAGAGGTGATTTGGGTGCGGACGAACCCCCCCTTTTCGAACGACATATTTTTTTATATATCAGTATAAAAGTTTTTTATGCTGTTGATACTCATGTTGTATTTTTATCAAGAAAATGCTAGTAGCATACAAAACATGTGTCTGCCACTATTCTGCCTAACAATCTATTTGAGTATAGTGTAGTCAAAGATACTGTTGCAATAAAAGTCAAATTTTTTTTATCTTGAAGTAATGGATCTAGTTTTAAACTAAGATACTCAGTCCTTTAAGCGCACAAAAAACCCACAGTTTATTGAGAACACTAGTTTCGTCTTAAGACGAAAAGGACTGAGTATCTTAGTTTAAAACTAGATCCATTACTTCAAGATGAAATTTTTTAAGTCCTTTAATGTCAGAGCTATCAGCATTTCTAAAAAAAAGTCAATTTCCTTTCAGTCAAATTGTACATATTTTCCTTGCTCTAGACAATACCCAGCTACCAAAAATGATSAGTTCCATCTGCTTTACTTAGTTTTTAGGGAATATATTATTACTAACAAAAGCACGTCCCCTTATACACTGTAAAATGCTGGATCCTCCCCTGTTTAAAAAAGGCTTATTGTACATTATCAAGAAATTATGTCTTACTCAATTTAACAAAAAATCATGCTGATTTTGTTTTTTTTTTAATTATAGTTGGAAGCCAATCATACAGCATATTGATAATAAATTTGAAGAATATTTATCGGAGGAGTCCAAAGTGCACAGGCAACCATTTCCAGATAATCGAGTTCATTGTTGYCTGTACTTTATTGCACCGACTGGACACTGCTTAAAACCTCTTGATATAGAGTTTATGAAGAAACTTCACAACAAGGTAYAGTTTTTGTATAATCCATTTTAGAATTATTTCCACAATGCACAGGAAACCTCACAAGATCAGCTTTATAGAATCATAACCAACTGCTGTACCTTGCGCGCTTGTATTGTTGTTTACATACGTTTGTCAAGCATACTATAAATTATACATTGATAGTACCTGTCAGGCACTTAGTTAAAGGTATTTCTGTCCAAACTGAAAGGACAGAAGACGATTCGCGCTCACTTTAAGAAATCCTACGAATCCGCCATTTTCGTGTCCAACTAAAATGGCACTTCTGCTCGCAAGGTACGGCGGTTGGTTATAATTCTTTAAGACTATACATGTATTTAGTCAGGGTTCCTGTTACTTCTTGAAATCCTTGAAGCCTTGAAATTGACAACACATTTTCATTTTGAAAATAGAAAAAAAAAAAAATTCAAAAACTCCTGGAATACTTCTTGAATGTGATGACTCTCACATGTTTGTTTTAACTTTTGGATTGAAATAAGAATATTTTTCTTAAAAATTGCTGGTAGAATACACATTAGGAAGTGGCACTAACTTTGACCGAGTAATCAAACAATTTTAATTGAATTTGTAAATAATAGGTCAATATAGTTCCAGTCATTGCTAAATCTGATACCATGACACAAGAAGAATGTACAAGATTTAAAAARCAGGTACAGACACAAAATATTGATAAACTAGTGATATACAGTGTATATGAAATCAGGGGTGTGCAGGGGGTGATTCCAGGGGTTACGAATCCCTGTCTTTGAAAGGGGATACTTTCTTTTTCCAAGTCACGGCTGYCCAACAGCTTGTTTGGTGTGAATCCAAGAACAATACTTGTTCAATTTTGCATTCAATCGCCTTCTTGAAAGTCTAGAAAGTGCAAAAAAACCCTCTGGATCTCCACTCACAAAACCTGTGCGAACGTCACGACAATAATGACAATGATATAACCATGATGTCGCTGACATTATGCGATAATAACTATATACAGGATAGCGCCATATACTTGTACAACATGATTTTATAACACATTTTATGTCCTACAAGTCAATAGTGTGCAATAATCATAAATTGTTCTTAATACAGTTCAGGTTTTCACAATATTCACATGTGTGAGTTTGTAAGAAATAGATTCAAGAACAGCAGGCCCATTAGTCTTTCCTTCACTAGTCCCATAACACAGCCTAACTCTAAGAAACAAAATAATCAATTTTRCCATCAGATCTTAGAAGAAATCAAAGAAAATGAAATAGGAATCTATGACTTCCCTGATCTAGCAGTAGACGATGAAAATGATCAGGATGGCTTCACCATGAGAGTAAGGACATTAAATAACATTATTCATTGATATATTAATGATATTGCATGGTCATAAAACACTTAAGTGTTGTTTAGATGTGGTAATAGGGCCTGTTGATATTAGCAATTTTGTCGCGAGGCAAGACCAGTGATCACAGCCCTAAATCGCGTATGTAAATGCCATGCGAATTCATGGCGACAGGTTGCAGGTCTATGGAAGCCAATTCGAACGTGAGCTAAAGTTTTGCGTAAATTGCTGTGATATTTAAAATTTGTAGACTGTGGAATAAAATTGTTGCAAAAATTGCTGCTTATGTCATGTAATGAAATTGCTAGTGTAAACAGGGGCCCTTTAGCAATGCTYTATTTTATAGGATAGAATACCATTTGCAGTAGTTGGGAGTAATACTGTACTTGAAGTCAATGGCAAAAGAGTAAGAGCAAGGGTATATCCTTGGGGAGTTGCAGAAGGTAAATTTTAACATTCAGTCGTTTCGATTTAATGTTGAATTTTCGTGAGTGCTTGTATTAAAATTTTTGAAACAAGAAAATCATTGCAAGAAAGTGGCTTGAGGAAAAACATGTAATGGTGATTTAGATTCAAGATACATTTTGTTTTGCTCATGCATAATGTTTTAACATTTTTGGAAATTATAAAATAAGAAGAGATTTTTACATTATAATTAAAATGAAAAATAAATGAATAAGTAAATAAATATTTCAATAATTTCTGATACATCTTTAGGTATTATTTATTATTTTCTTTTGTGGAATTGCTGATTTAATTTCTTTTTTGTCTTTTTGTTTCCTTTGATGATAAGATATCTTGTATGATTTCATGTTGTTTTTTGTTGTTATATTTTTAGTGGAGAATGTTGATCATTGTGACTTTGTTGCTCTTCGTAACATGCTGATAAGGTTTGTATATGATGGAATTTGAAATTCTATTCTTCACTCTTAATAATTATTTTAAACTTGTTTACATAATTGTTGAATAAACTTGATTCATTTATAAAAAAATAAAATCACTTAAAATGTTATCAATTAATCTTTTCAGAACACACATGCAGGATCTAAAAGATGTCACTAATGACATTCACTACGAGAACTTCAGGTGTGAGAAGCTTGCTGGAATGCAACTGGGCTCGCCAACAAACAGCTCTACAAGGTAACATAACCTACCTTTAATAAACCTACATGTATTTCAAAAAATAGTATTGGGGAGAACAGAGAATAGTAATTGTATGAGAATGTSGTTACACTGTTTGACATGCAAAACATCACTTGTTTGGTTCCCCTTGTGTTAAAATGGAGACTAAATGGAGCCAATGTTTACCACAGACTATCTTACAGTATAAATCTGTTATTAATTCACATCAATTCACAAAAGCCATGTCTTTTACAATAAAATATATTAAAAATCTGGATTTTCCTCTTCTCCCTTATTTTAAACTCAAATTGATTGTCTCCCTAACMTTCCATATAATTTCAAACTAGTGTGTTAGTTATTGTTTACCTTTGTATTACTATCCTCCGTATAATTTTAAACTATTGTACGTAATTGTATATTCTTTTTTCCTTATGTTTTATTGCTTTTCTCCTTACCTGTAACTATCAATGTAACACCAAAAGACAGGGGAAAACGTATTACATGTTGTTAGTTAACTTAGCCCTCTGGCTCTATTTCTTTAACAAAAATTTTGATCTTTTTTTATACTTATTTATCTTTTTAATTTGTTACAAGCACCTTATTCTGTCAAGTTAAAAACAGAAAAAGTCAATTTCAGTTTCCTTTYGGTTCTGAAATGCACTTRTTTTCTACATTTTGCTGTTTCAGTGCATCACTATCTAGAAGTCCACTRGAGCAACTGGAACTGGAAAAGGAAGAACATGAAAAGAAACTTAAAAAAATGGAACAAGAAATGGAACAAGTGTTTGAAATCAAAGTCAAAGAAAAGAAAAAGAAACTTAAAGATTCCGAAGAAGAGGTGAATACACATTGTATTTTTTTCACAGAGTGAACTCTCCACCACTTTCCCAGTTTCACAGTTTAACATTTTGTAAAATTATTAATTTTATAATCATATTTTTTTATAGCTTGGGAGAAAACATGAACAAATGAGAAAGCAGTTGGATTTACAGCTCAAAGAGCTGGAAGAAAARAGAAAATTGTTCGAAAAAGAAAAGAAAGAATTTGAAAACAAACAAGCTGAAAATAAGAAAGCATTAGAAAGATCAGACTCRTCGTCCAAATCACTGAAGTAAGTGTGTTGTTTTGTGACTATTTATAGATTAATAGTTGTTTGTTTTAAGACATTTATTACCCATCCACGTGAAGTGCCGTAAGCATTAAATGAACACTTTGAATTTGAAAGTATTTAATGCGATAAATCTGGAAAATCTGTAGTAGATTACTTTATGTACTCAAAAGATGTTTTGTAAAATAATGATTATATGATTGATCAAAATGGATTTAACTGATGCTGAATATCCAATTTACATTTCATTTGGGATGCCGTCACTTCATGGGTAATAGGGAAATGTTTGTACATGTAGCCTGTTTGTGTCGTTAGTGTYAGTATTGCAAGGTAACTTTGTAGCGGGTTTAGACAGGAGTGTAGAGTAGCTTATTTTTGATAGTCTGGATGGGGGACCACACACAACTAAAGACAGAGCTTCATTGAAAACAAGGCAACAAAAAAAAGAATAATTTCCACCCAACCCCCCTCCCCCTGGAGCTTTTTTTTTAAAAAATCTGTCTATATTGAAAGAAAGGTATTTATAAGGAAAGGCTTGTGCAATAATTTACCTTGTCACATTACCAAGATACAACATTTTCATTGTTGTTTTTGTGTAGATACAGCCCCCATTATGGCAGAAGATTTTCACATTGTTAGTGAAACACAGAGGCAGACAGGCAGACAGGAAGCTACTACAGCTCTAGCCAGTCATCAGGAAACAATAATATATTAAATAGTTCACATCAGAATCTTATTTWACAAAAACAAGTTCAAGTGATTGGTGAATGATGGCAATAGCTGTTATTACGGTTGTATGAAATGATTTTGAATAATGGGTGGAAGTTGAGGMTTTCAGTGAAAAAAGTGGGTTTGCCGAAGAACCTAGACTTCAACACATTGTTCAAAATTATGTGAATGTTACTGGAATAACAGCTATTGCACGCCTTTGTAAGCTGATCTGTCACATAAATTCATACAAAATTAAACAATTGAGTTTAGAGGTTGGCTTGCCTGTGATTATTTCGCTAAAATATTTCTTTTRAAAATGCGATTTCACAAAATTCATTCATCATTTCAAAATCATTACAATTTATGCCATTTTTGTCGAATCATTATTTTAAATAATTTCCTGGCAATAGAAAAGAATCTCTTTGCATTGTCATGCAAGTATTTCAGAGACTTTTTCTTTTTTATTAGTTTTTTTTATTTTGATGGGGTTGGGATGCGATAGCCTATCAACAGAGATTCATCTAGGAAGCTCAAGGAAGTGTAGTTGTGATGAAATGATARGTGATTGCCTAATGATATTCTGGGATATTTTCCGTCATCTTTTACTCCAACCAAGCAACATTCCTTAAAGGGACACTGTCAATGGATGACATGCGCGAGTAAACTTGAAAACACTAGGCTAGTGTTTTCAAGCTTACGACTCCAAGTTGGCGCGACATAAATCAGATCGTAAACGTAAACAGATCTAGAATATTCCAAAGTGTGTCAAAAGCAACACAAAATGATTWACCTCGAAGGTTATACTTTCAAAGTCCGTTAGAGGTGAGACTGTTACTGCGCATGTCATCCATTGACAGTGTCCCTTTAAGAGCTTTTGTCTCAAAATAAATAAAAAATTATAATTATAAGAAAAAACGTTTCTTAATGATCCCATTATGCTCAATGAATGGAGWTTCTTCTTAAAACCGCCCTATCGAAACGGAGTGCGAATGGATATTCGAGTCAACTCATTTTACATATATATGAAAATCTAAAACACGACCGCGTCGAATGCTGGTTAACGATCGACCTTTAAGTTTTAATTACGATGTATAGCTTGTCATTTTCTCACAACTATATTCAGAACACTGTAGTTAAATGGTAGAGTTTTTTAGTTTAAGTCCTACATGTAGACTATGTTATTTACAAATGTTGTAATTGTTCAGCACGCGTTCTTCAAGTAATGTGTTGTATAAGTCATGCTCAGTCACCTAGCTAGTCCAAGCTTRTTGTCTAACAAATAAGCAAAATTTGCGCAGTGATCAGCGTTGTGTATGAATAGATGTAGAAGTGTTTTCTGCAGCACAAAAAAATGGCAATTTATGTTGCGTGGCTGCATTAAATGTTGCATAACGCATAATGCATGTTGCATGAAAGTCTTACCGTAATCAGTCTTTGCAAACAAGTTATTTGGCTGTGTGATGTGGTTATTATTTAGCTGTTGTGCRTGTGTTTTTGCCAGACATCTTGTGTGTTTCAATATTCAATACTAAAGTTTAAATGTTGTAGGAATTATCCCTCTAAACATAACTCAAAGCCAAGTTTAAACGAAACTTAAAATGAATGCTCAAATTAATCCTTATCTAACTGTCATCATATATTTGTAAATCCTAATTCCCCCTAACRTTGATGAAAAATCAAGTATTTTTCTAACATTAAAACCATGTATTTTTTTTATTCTCATTCATTCATTCTTTTTCATTCCATTCATTGCCATTTTGCTCTATCTCTTCTGTTAGATTTCTAATCATCATCATACCTTTCCCACTTTTTTACTTATTCATACTTCTTTATTAGATTTCATYCCATTCTTATTTTATTTCCCACATACCATTTCGTCATTTTATTCTTTCCTATTTGCATTCCTTTCGTTTTCTGTTTTCATAACTTTTCATTTCTTTACGTGTTTTGTGCTTAATTGTTCTTACTCTCACTTTCATTCCTTCCTAAATTTTGTTTTCATTTCCTTTTTGTTTCRTATTGTAAGTTTTACTTTAACTTCTTCTCTTTCATGTTCGTATCACCTTTCTTGTTCTTTACTTTACATCCAAATTTCTTTACTTCTGACAGAGGTCTCCTGCTTTGTAGTTCTGAAGGTTTGAATGGGTTAGTATCTTTTCTTTGCAGAAAAAAAAAACATTTCATCGACGGTCGTTTTGGGTCTTTGCTGTTCTCTCTTTCCAGSCATTTTCCTGATCAAAATACTCGTCTTTTTGCTCACTTTGAMACTCATTTTCACTCGTTTTGGCATAGTAAAACGTCATATTCCATGAGGTTTCATCCTAGTTTTCAAGATCATTTCTGTATAATTTTCACACGTTATTAGGCAACATTTAGTAAACTTTTCCTCTTTTTCTTTCAAATCCTATAATTTCATCATTTCCTCGTGGTCCGTATTGTACTTGGCTTAATCTTTCTAACTTTGAGTTGAATTTTGTATGTGTAGTGTGACTTTGTTGTGTGACACTTGTTTGATAAGTGTACATGTAACTCTGTCCAGTGAGTGACACGTTAGCTTGTTTATTCAGACAGTAACCATAGGAACCTATTTGCCATGACAACATCTCCATAGCAACATGTATTATTCTCATACTGACTCCTTAATCTATTTAAACAGACCTAACGCCTCCCCACAAAAGGTTTTGCAGAGAACATTCTGCTTGCCTGGGATTAAAAGCCACTTTTAAAGCCGTGTAAAACGAGGTAATAAATACTAAATATAAAAAAAAAATTAAAGAATGAAAAAGGGTTGTAATTGCTTATGAAACGCTAAACTTTATTATCGCAATCAATAAAACAATCATCGGTTTTTAAAACAATGCATGCAATGTGAAGAAATCTCGTTAACACTTAGTCAAATTTAGCTCCAAGTGAACAAATGAATGAAATTTGATTAAGAAAAGATTTTTAAGTACACCAAAGTATTCTGCACTTCTAAGCACCACTCATCATTTCGTCAAAAATGCGTCCTTGCAAATAGACGATTTCTGAGATATGCAGGTTCTTTAGAAGCATCGCATTCGCGCGCATCAACAAGAGGTATTTTCGGAGAAAATATATGCGTGCTTTGGATTAATTCTGCCCCAAAATACCTTGTTTTCAAGTGCGGCTACGATATCTTWAAAAACGCATGCGCATATATCATAAATCGTCTATTTAACATTGAATCATGTGTATCTCATCTTACCACAACTTTTAAATTATAACCAACTGCGTCAGATCACAAGACGTCATTTTAAATCCATGGCATTACTCATGTTCGTCACAAAACATCTTAATCCACCGGTTAAGAGGGAAATGTTTCATCACCCGAACAAAAATAGACAACGTTGATAAGTCATTAAAATAATTGTAATGAAGAATAGAATGTTTGACGGACTTCAAAATCCCATCCAGCATGTTTGATGCTCTATCGAACAACGTAGCAAACAAGATGTGATCAAAAAAATGTTGGGTCTTTCCAACAAGTTTTTATGGAGTTCGGTGATCCAAGATTTCTCTCATAACTTCACAACAGATGGCTTGCATCATCATGTAAACACATCGGAGCGTACTGGAATTCATCTCAACGCATGCGCTTTTCATTCTCCATCTCGTCGATGGAGATCGTACAGTAACCATCACATCACCACATGAAATTATGTAGCTTTGACACAACGCATCACATAGACCCTGCAAATTGAATAAACCTTGTCATGCCTAAAAGTAATTTGGTAGATTATTGATCATGCAATGTGGTGAATATTTCTAACGCTCCTCCCCAAAACCTCAAATGAATAACACCGRTTAATCGTTATCACATGTATTATCATTAGATAATGATGATGATGATAATTCATGATGGTGATGATTTATTTGATCATTTTCAGGCATTCCGTAATTGTATTCCATACTGAACTTATATGATCAATAGTCTACCATTTATCTTTTGAGTCTGACAACGTTTTCAATTTGGTGT